ATAGAATAGAATAGAATAGAATAGAATAGAATAGAATAGGGTTAGGGTTAGAGTTAGAGTTATTATTGGCCAAGTGTTATTGGACACACAAGGAATTTGTCTTTGTGTAAATGCTCTCAGTATACATTTGTTAAGAATCAAGAATCATAACGTACAACACTTAATGATAGTCATAGATGATGAAAAATATACAGTGAACACAAGATTGATCAATCTGTATTGGAAGGATTATTTTTATTGGGGTGGAGTTTTATTACCTAGTTTTATTGTTATTGTGAACCATCTAGAACAGGGCTGTCAAACTCCCAGCCCACAGGCCAGATGCGTCAAACACTAGTCATGCCATGCCCGGTTTAGTGAAGGGGGGAAAAGTTCTGATAAGTCACGTGATGCCACTGTGATGACGTGAGTTTGACACCCCTGATCTAGAGTCTTTGAAGTATGGTGGAATAGAAATTCTGTATAAATAAGTGTATAAATGAAGGTTTGCCAAACGAGTGAAAATCCCATAGTATATGTGGAATTATAAACAACATTAATTGGACAATCAGTCAATAAACCAATTTTATACAGTCACAGACAGCATTGATTATATAGATCTGGGAAAAAGGAAATTGGAGAAATGGCAAGGAATTTGGACAAAACATAGTTCAGTAGTATTTGCATAAACTACTAATATTATAAAAACAAAGAAAGAGTAAGATATAGAGAAGAATGAAAGAACTTAAATATTAGTTTAAAAGGAAGTGTTTACCATTTGGAGACAGGTTGGATGTTTCATACAGCAAATGGAGAAAAATAAAATGTAGTCTTATGGTTCTATTCTGAGGGGATATAAGGTAACACTCTCTAACAAAGTGAGGTAATGAAGTGCAAAATAAAGCCTTAATTAAATTATCAATTAAGATAGGTAAACATAAAGGTAAACATAAAACATACTTTCTTCCTCCTGTCCATATTTCTAACAAAAAAACATTTTTTAATTTAGTGAATAAATTGGTGGCAAAAGAGTTATGTTTACTCATAATAGGATATGGAGTGCTTGGTGCTGTTTGAGCTTGCTCTATAAGCAACCTAGAATGCTAAAGAAAGAAAACAACTACCTATACAATCACTTCCAACAAAATGGGATGCCCACACAGTTTTATCAAAAAGTGCCACTCAACTCACTACAACACAACCATGCTATGAAACAGATAACACTAATACATCAAAAGCATCTCAGAAATAACCAATAGACAATCACATGGACTCATTGTAGCATGGAAACCAATTAAAGCCCTCCATATCTTAAGTAAATCAAAAGATCCTATAGCCAAGAAGAAAAATAGGACTTAACTACAATATGTAGTGTAAGAACTGTAATAGACACTATGTAAACAGATGGGGAGAAAATTAGCAGAACATATCCACGAAACACCAAAACATGAAGAAAATTACACAACACAACACAACACATGGACAGATTCAACCATAGTTTTAAGTGGGAAACTGAGAAACCTCAACCAAGCTAAATCCAAAAATGCTAGAGAATTCCTGGAAACTCAACATTCAGACAAATTGGGCATCAATAAACAGAGATAAACTACTTTTACATACCATTAAAAAGAGACAATAAAAAGCTAAGAAGAGGGGGAGAGACTATACCTTATCCTCTTTGGCAGCTTACCCCAGATAAGCAGACAAAATCAAGCAGAAAACCATACCCTCCAAGAACTATTAAGGAACTATTAAAGACAAAACTATACCCCTACCAACAATGGCATGGCAAGCTACTATACAGGGAACACATTCCACACTCATTTCACTGATGATCTGCAAGCAAACAACCAAGCTCAGAGAACACCAGGGATCCACAATTCAACCCCAAGCTACATATATTACTTTCTATTGTAATGAGATATCTTGTATCATTTGTCTCCTTTGATGCATCATACACACACACACACACACACACAATGGCTGTTTCCAAGCTTTTATACAATTACCCTTTTACAACTAGAAATGCAGACAGCCCAAAACTGTACTCTCTGAGATAGTAAAAGATAGTAGCAAAACATCCATAGTTGGGTTGAGTGTCTATTGATATTCAACTTATATGAGCTAAAATCAGTAAGTAATTTGAAGTCATAAATGTACAAATTCAGGATGTATCTAATAGCTATGAAATGTTTCCATTTACTTTTATTTGTCAAATACATTTTAATAATAATAATGTACTAGGAATGGCAAAGATAAATATGGCATTAGAGTGCCAATATTAATAAAGTTGAACAAATATTCTACTTGGAAAATATTATATCCAACAAGAAGAGTAGTTCAAACAAAAACTGTAAAAAAACCCAACTTTTACTTGACTACATCCAAAAGGCACCTGTTGACATGCAAGAAATTTTGTTTCCATTCAGGTTGTCTTTTCATGTCCAAGCATTACTCAAGAAAAACAAAATGACATTTGATTGAATGCCTTCCAACTATGTGGGCAATAGCTCCCATAAACTCCGGTCAGAATCCTACCTCCATTTTTATTCCTTTTGGATCATAATATAATTTACGAATAAAATGGAATTAAATTTAAGTAATAAATGTCCAAACTGTAAACCATTAAAAAAGGAAATGGAACACAAGTCAAGTAATCAAAAAAGAAAAGACAATAAAGTATAGCATCGGGGATGGGTTTCTTCCAGTTCTGTCCATCTCTGTAGAACCGGTAGCTCTGAAGAGCAGCAGACATAGAACCAGTTCTATGTCTGCTGATGTTTTTGCCCACCCGCTCACCCGGGCTCTTACCTGACCATTATTTCCTTCTTTTTCAACTTCAGCTGCCATGCGAGGCACAGCTGCAGTTAAAAAAGTAGGAAAAAAGTACTTTTTCAAAGGCTGCTTCTCGGCATGCAGCGCTGCTCAGCTGTCCAGGTACCAGGCTGCTGATGATTTACAGGTGCGCGCACAGAGTACAGGGAAGCACATCGTAAATCACCGAACCTCGTAAATCACCGAACTGGTAGTTAACCCTGTCGGATCCCACCCCTGTATAGCATAGTTCCAAAAAGAAACACTACAAAACCCAGCCTGACTGTCAATAATTGTAGCCTAAATTTCTGAATAATGTCACTCTGCAGCTTTAAAAGGCTTCAATGGGTACATCCCAGAGTTGGTATTCAGCAGGTTCTGACCAGTTCTGGAAAACCGGTCGGGGAAATTTTGAGTAGTTTGGAGAATCAGCAAATACTACTTCTGATGGGAGATTTTACAGTATCCTTCCCCTGCCACGCCCACTAAGCCATGTCCCGGTAGTAAAAAAAAATTGAATCCCACCACTGGTACATCCTGTTCTGGATGCAAGGCACGGATTACCATCTCTTACAGTAGATGATCCTGGAACATAGGGCTGTGCATGCTCTGAAAATTATTTGTAGGAGATACTCTGGAAAATGTGAGAGGTCAAACTCAGCAACTTAAAACAACTGTGTCTTTATTAGGACTCAGCATGAAATAGAAAAATATACCATTAACACATCACATAAAATATGCAGCTACTTGAAATTAGTTGACTTATGTTCCAGAATGCATTCTTGGGCTCAGATTTGGAATCAGAGAGAAGGACCACTGATAAGCAGCCAGGGCCAGAGCAGCTTTAGAAATTCTGATGGACAATGAACCGGAAGCTCCACTGCTGCCAGACAGACTGTCATCCGAACAAGCAAAGGACATAGGGCAAACAGCAACAGTAGCCATGACTGCCATTGGTCTTGAGGGCACAGAATTACTATCCAAACCATCACCAGGTTTGCTTCTTAAATGGGCAGCAAGCATAGGCTCTCCTTTGATGATAGTCACTGTTAGCTTCAATTTTGTGTGCCTTGAATTATGAACCTTGCAACCCTGATTTTGAACCTGGACCAGCTGATGAATCTGCCATAACCTTTGACCCCCAGGTTCCATCTGATTACTTTCTGGTGTGCCACTTAGATTTTGAACACTGATAAGACACTGCACTTTGGGGGTTAATGTGTCTCTATATTGTGTGTGTGTGTGTGTGTGTGTGTGTGTGTATGTGTGTATTTCCAAGCCTGATTAGTAAAACTTTGTGTATTTGTGCGTGCTTGGTCTGGGAAGGACATTCCAAAGAACATCACCCAAATATTTCGCAAAGTATATATTTCCATAGTTCCATTATTCTGTCCTGTTAGACTATATTATTCAGATTATGCATTCGACTCTGTAATTATTTCTGGTACTTCAAGTTCTCTTTTACCAAAAGTATACTATATTGATAAATAGCAAGGTTTACTGTGCTAAATTGGGAATGCAGTTGCTTGCCTTTAGTACCTTCATTTCCCTTTTTAGACTATGTGTTTGGATTCTATCAATGGTTCAGTACATCAGAAAACTAACCTAGTTTTCCTGACTGTGAATACTTTTAGATATAATAAGTAAAATTAAATAACAGTGGCCTGGCTGATTGCACAATTCCTCCTAACTTCCACCATTATTAATTGCTAATTCATTTGCTAAAGTCATTTACATTCTTATTTCATTCACTGTGTGCAAGACTGTGCAAATAATTCTTCCCTAACACATAATATTTAGATAATTGTAACTTGCCAAAGTTCACAGTCTTGTCAAATAAACTTTATTAAAACAGTTCTGAAAATGTAACAGTCTAGATTTCCTCTGTACTACACAAGGGAATGTATTAATTTATATTTTTCATGAAATGCTTAAGTGAGGATGTAGAAGTTGCTAAAACAATCCACTGATCTTGGCACATTTTAAATATATTTCTGGAGAATAAGTACTTGAGCTAGTTAGTATTTTGAAAAATACTAGCTAAGTATAATTCCCAAACATCTAAAGTTTTCCCACTCATCTCCTTACTTTCATAATATTGGGATGAATAATAAAACTATGTAATTGAAACTAATTCATATTAATACATAATATTAGTTGTGATAGCATATAGCTGAATTAAAAATAATTATATATTATAGACATACATGGTAGAAGGTTTTTTTTAGGTCTCCTAATTGGTATTTCTCTCCATGTGTCTCCATCTCCTTGATCTTCAGATAACCAGCAGTTGACAGGAAAGCACATTTCTTGCTCAGATGGAAAATTCATCTTTTGAAATCTAATTTCATTCAGGTACCAACTGGGATTTGTTCCACTGTTGTCATGGCCAATTCGGATTTTATATGGTTCTCCAATATTTTTTAGGTTAATCTGGAAAATATAAATAGATAAGAAAATTTTTCATTTTATTTCAGTTGCCCATACAGATAAATCTAAATAATTAAATGAAATGAAACTGAAATGTTAATAAACAAATCCTCCAATAACTATCATTAACATAAAATAAAGATAGCATGATGTTTAGAAGGCCTGGGGGAGAATAAGAAGGTCATAGCCCAATGATGAAAAATGCACTAAAGTGGGTAGCTTAACTTTTCTTAGGACATTTTTTCTAGGAGACGAGAAGGACAATTAGCAAAAGTTCCCTCATCCTTGGAGATACTTGCAAGAATTGAAACTGAAAAGAGATTTGGTGAAAAGCTCTATTGCTGATTTTGGAACCTTTGTAGATACATATTGTATGTTATAACCATATAGAATAGAATAGAATAGAATAGAATAGAATAGAATAGAATAGAAT